ACTCTGGTTCCTCCAAGAACTTCATGTAACTGCAGTCCTGTCTTTTTGAGCCCCATCATTTTCTGTCGCTGCCTTGCAGAATTTCCGCTCTCCGTTTGTTTCCTGGTTTTACTGGAACATTTTACTCTGCTCATAAAGGCTACGGAGTCTCACAAATTGTAGCAGTTCGTGCCTCGCTTCTTCTGATGTGTGGCCAGCTCAGTTCTAATTGCAGAATTGCACAGTTTCCTCTCCTTGGCATCCTTTGGAGCAGCATAGACCTGGATCACAGTGGAGTTAAAAGGCTGTCTTTCTGAACAAGTCGTGACGATAATTAAGTTGCCTGGGTTGTAGCCAAGTGGTGCTTTTCTGTCCCTATCACTTAGGATTGTGCCAATTCCTCTTTTATGCTTTATTTTGTCATGTGAGAAAATGATCTCGCTATCTGCTGTCTCTCCCTTGCCTGGCCACCTGGCTTTTAAGAGGCCTTCTATGTCATGTCGCTACCTTTGTATTTCATTCATTAGCAAGGATATTTCACCAGGGTGCCAAAGCGGTCTTACATTCCAGGTTCTGTTAGAACTAGAGAGGGGAGGTGATTTTTGCCTCTTAGACCTGCTGATAATAAAATACTACATATAGTTCTGGTTTCCACACTTTAAAAAGGATGCAGGAGAAAATTTCACTGGATCAGAAAAGTTACAAAAAGTCATTTGAGGGCTGTAGGAGATGTGTTCCAAGGAAATATATAGGGAGCTGGTGGTGTTTAGAATATCAAAAGGAAGATCAAGAAGAGATGTGATTATGGTATATGAGTACCTTCACTAGAAGAAAATATGGGGTACCAGTGGCTTTTTTTAACCTAGTAGAGAAAAGCATAAAAAGAACCAAAGGCCAGATACATTCAAATTAAAAATAAATCAGAAATTCCTATTTCTAACATTTCAGGTAATTAACACACGCTGAAGACATGCTCAGAGGAAGTGGTGCATTCCCCTTAAATCTTCAAATCCTCTTTCTGGGAGTTGCACCATGTCTCAGCTGCTAGTTACCTATCACAGTCCAGTGTGTGAGCTTGAGGCACCTACATGATGTTTTCCTCCGTTCTCATGTCTCAAGGCCTGCAAATCCAGATCCACGTGGCACCTGGTAATGTTCATGTGCAGAGCTGAGAAGGGAGGTAATTCGGGAAGATGTATCTGTGTCAGCTACCCAAGGGCGTATTCAGTTGTCCCTTCCTGGCACTTTTAGCATTGTCATAGTTGTGCACTGAAGGGACTGCATAACATGGGGCAGTGGTATAATGCAGAATACTCTAATTGCCCTAAAAGCTAAAATTTCCTGAAAGGTGATTTATAGCCATGCTTGAAAACCTGTCTGCAGAGGTAATGGCTATTTTTGCTATAGTTCTTCATGCCGGCCTCTTCACCAGAGGTAAACTTTTCCTGTCACCAGCAGCATGATATATATATATATATAGATAATGCCATGAAAATTGAATTCTCCAAAAATTGGTATTATCTCCTGTTTTCAATGTGACTCCAGCCATATGCAACTTACGGTCTTCTGCAAACGTCTATAATTTTTCATGGTCCTCAGTGGAGAATAAAAGACAAAAATTCCTGCCACTGCCCTGCTTGTTCTGCAGCAGCTTCTGGTAGCATTCAAGTTCACCTTCATCCTCAAAGCATCTTTGTTCTCCATGGAAACACTTGTAGGTGACAAATATGACTAAAAAAACATCTTAACTGATGTAAAAGTGAGCTTTAAAGCTTGGAATACAGGTGTGTGATCTTGGTTATGTACAACTTTGTATTTAGCATCTCCCATGCTTGCATTGCTTATAAATCATTGTCTTAAAATATTTAATGTTCATTATTTAATGTTATTTAATGTTCAACCTGAACTTTCCAACGCTGTTAAATCTTGAAAAGTACTTTGTGAATTCTAGATTTTGCAGGTAAATTAAATCAAAAAGTTTTGTAGGTTTTCCTACTGATGTTAGTTATTCTAGGATAAGATTACTGCTTAGCCAATGTCTCACTGAAAACACGCTTCCTTCATTGTTTTGCTCCCATGCAAAGATCTAATGAAAACAAAAAACAGATCTAACAACAGCAACAAATTTCAAAGGAAACTTTTGGTGTAAGAAAAAACAAAGGGTTTTTTTTTTTTATTTGTTTGTTTGTTTTTGTTGTTCTTTTCTTCCCCCCAGGAAGAACTCAACTATTAATGGAAAAGATCACAATTTTTCTAACAGTGTAAACAGTATAATGTTTGTATTTGCTTTTTCCTTCATCTTTGGACTGCAGTGCATGTGCTGCCAATGCACTTGCCTTATGCCTAGTGCTCCATCCACACTTCCTGTGATGCAAGTTAGGTGCATGCAAGTTGTATCTCCTGCAAAATGTCACCCAGAGCAGGGGACATGGCACAGAATGAGCAATGTGCTTCATCTGACTTAGTAAGGACATTGTTGCGCTTAACTGGCATTTCCATAAAGCACGGTGGTGCCATTCCTTGATGGAGTACCCTCAGATTTTCATAAAATTATCTGTGGGCCATTCTGAGAATATTTTTCTTGTAAAATGATTAAGACCTTCACTAGAAGAAGTTTCCAAGACACTTCCTACCTCTCTGTATGATATTAAGAAGTAACTAGCTGGTGATTTTTCATGGAGATCTATAAAAAATACACAGAGACACATTTCTTTGTAAGTCTCTCTTAAATGTGGTACTATTTCAAATATTTTTATACTTACAGGAAAAATGTACAGGTAAAATCAGATTTTCAATTTATTTTAGCCTAAATAAAAAATAACACATACTTTTAATAGTTACAGCACAAAGAGTGCTGTAACTTTGTGAACTCAAGGCACTGGAGCTTATAGCTCTGACAGAAACACTATAATTTTACAGTCACTACATTTTTATGATGCTTGTGGGTGTTTGAGTTTTTTGTCGGAGTACAGGTAGCATTTGTTTTCTATTTTTGAGTGAGGGGTGAATTATTTCTGTATCACTTATATTGTAATGGCTTTCTGATTCGTTTACTTGCTCTTAAGAGAGTTTAAGCTGGTTCTTCCAATGATTATTGGTTAAAATTACAGAGGTTGTTTGCAGAGATATTTTTGAGGAATATCTGTTTTGAAATAAACTATCTAAGAATATTTAACACTAGAGGCATCTTAACCTATTCCTAGTTTTAACATTCGATCATAGTATTTCTTATCTTAAGGAGAGCATTATAGTCCTCACTGTGGTCTAAACAAAGGTTTGACTGCCTATGTGCACGTGTGAAACTTGGATTGACAGTAAACCTACATTGACAGCAACAACTTTCGTCTTTCCTTAATTTCATTTCTAACACTTTATCTTCCAAAGCATTCAAAATAAACGGTAAACATAAAACTCAGAGAGCTATGTCAGTTAGAAATTTTCTCATTGTAAAATAATTGAACCTTGTTACTGTATGAGCTTTGCAGTAGTTTAATTTTGACAGCTACGCAGACAGTAAATGTTTTTTAAAAAATTAAAAGAAAATTTTCCTGTAGCAAATCTAATCTGCCTGTGATTGCATAGTGCTTATTTTATGAGGATGCATTTATTCTGATAATTGGCTATTTCCTGTCCTTAAATGCCTATTTATTCATGTCTGCCACCTTTTTCTCAGTTTATTGGCCCTGCGGTCACCACATTATCTTTCTCTTCAAAATCAATTGACATTTTATGAAAAGAGTTTGCTAGATGTTTAGCTTAGTGAGAGTGGCATATAGAACATGTGCTTGTCACATTAAATAATCACTGTTAAAAGTAGACTATTTGGTTGTTTAACTAAGTATGGGATGTATTCATACACTTTACTTTGATATTGTTTTTGTTTTTATTCAGAGTAATGTATTGGCAAAACACTACTAGTAAGTGGAAGTATTCCTAAAAGTGCTTCTTACAGAAATTCCTTTACATTGAAAAATGGCATTACATGATCTTTTCCAGCCTTAATGAATCTATGATTTGACACAGGCATTGAATTTTTATACGCATTCAGGGTTGCAATCTAGGAAACTTGAAACTTGTGAAGTATACACATTAAATTATTAATACTTCTAAGGTACGTACAGAGTATGTATTTACTGACTGCAAGGTATGGTTTTAATTAAAATTTTCTGGTCAGCTCCTTGTTAGCTTTTCCTTCATAGATCTATCTTTTATTTTTAAAGATTTTTCAACGCTTGCAAAGGTTGCTGGCTAGCATGTATGAAGAGCCATTCTTCTTAGTTCAGTGTATGGTGTATCCCATGCAGACAGGGTTCTTCAGGGAAGGATCAAGCAGGGTGGATTGGCTTCAGCCACTATTTGTGCAGTTATAAGCAGTCCCTGCTCATTACAACATGAGACATCTTATTATATAGCGGCTTGCGGCATCAAATTTTATCCTGGCTGCTTGCATGAAGCTTTGACCCTGAGCCATTCTCAGCTAACTGCAAGAGAGCTGAGCCTTGGGTGGTGCTCAAGTTGTGCTTTTCTACGTTCAGTCATGTTGACTCCATCACAATTAAGTCCACACAGATTTTATATTTTCTTTTTTGTTAGAGGGGATTTTTACTGTTATTGGATGAATGGCAATGAAAAAATTCATACCAAAACTTACATTTTAAGGTATATACAAGAGGCAAAACTGAAAAGTAAAATTTGCATCTGAATATGAATGTTTAAAATTCTCTTTGACTGGAACTCAATTAATGCATTTTAGACAACCTTGCTTCCAGTGTTCGTTTGTTTGTTTGTTTTTAAATCAATATTTCTATTGTTCACATGCGTAACAAGTTGCATCTTTGAAAACACTGCTAACAAGCAAGCTACATGGGCAGAAACTGAAGAGAAATCCTTTCAGAAGCTGGAAGGAATTCTTATGGATTTGTGTTTGTTTGTCTGTTCGTCCAGCTGAATGCCGTTAAGCCAACATTCTGTTGCTTAATATGAAGAAAACCACAGGCTGATGAAAAATGTTTTGTTTCTAGGTGCCAGGTTGACCTGTCAACCCTAAGTAAAGAGCAAACTCACAAGCTGGAGATGCCGCTGGAAGAAGGGGAGGGATACCTGGTGTTGCTGGTCACTCTGACAGCCTCTGCTGCAGTCACTATCTCTGACCTCTCTGTCAACTCTCTGGAGGACCCAAAGGAACGGGAGGAAATACTGAAGAGATATGTATGGAGTTCCCTTTTGCCCTCTGTTTGCAAAATGGTTGTTTATATGAATAATAAGTATTAGGGAGAAAAGTCCAAATATACCTCTTACATCCTTAGCACATTCAGCCTACAGCAGTCATTTAAACTAGTCATTAATATTATTGCAGCTAAAACAAGTAGCATCAGGAAGGCTGCAAATCCTCTTTGTACAGTAAGGTATTTTTTACCTTAGTAATTCAGCTATTTCATTTGACCCCGTGACATAAAGAAGTTCGCCTTGCAGACCATTTTTACCAAGTGCGAGATAACTAAGAAGTTAGTGGCTACACAGTTTCTGGTGGGTGTTTATGCCAACTGATTTGAAGTGCCAGTTGTCTGGGGTTTTTAAGCTTTGTCTAAAGAGGAAGAAATTTTTAACTGTACATTAGAGTCTGAAGTAGCATTTTATATCATCGAATAATTGTTTCAATCATAATTTCCATTTTAAAATATTCTGAGGCAAATTATTTTCATTTCCCAGCATCCTCACATTACACAGCATCTGTGCAATTTTTTCAAAGCAACAGAGAGGGGAGCTCTTACTCCAGCATTTGTTAATGCCTAAATCACTAAAAGTAACTGTCTCACTACGCACAGAGAAAGGAGAAAAAAAAAAAAAAAAAGAGCTATTTCCACTTAAAATTACAAAGCTTTTATTGTACAATGCTGCCAGGTGTTTAGAAAGGCTTCTCTAGACACTCAGCCATTAAACCAAGCTCTGACTAACAAAGAGCCGCTTAATTTTTTTTTAGATTTTAAAATATTCCTATTCCATGACTGACATCCTTTCAATAACAGAATTTAATAAAGATGTACCTTATCAGTCTGTGCAGATAACGTGAAGTGCTGGTACTAATGCTGTACAATATTCTTCAAACAGATTAGCAGGATGTGTGCTTCAGCAAATTTATTCTGGCTATCTCCCCTGAATCAGCTGTCTGCTAATGCTTGTACAACTCATACACCAATAGTGTTATCATAAACACAGTTTAATAGAGGTGACTTAGTGAGGCTAAACATAATATTCCTAAACCAACTGAGGGCTAAGGTATTGTGCAAAATCTTTGAAAAATAATTACAATTAAGAGAATTATTTCACATTTAGGAAGCCACCAAGACAGCCTGTGGTTGTCAGAATGGATCTTTATGCATATAATAAATTTCTAGTGGATACGTTTTTGAGGTGATATACTTCTAGCTACCGTGTGCAACAATACCACATTTCTGTGGATTATTGTGTATGATGGTATGATGGGAGTTGAGTGATACTGATGGTTTTGATAATTTAGAAGCAGTATAGCAACATGTTGTGACTGTGTATTATTAATCAGTTTTTCTAAATTCTCATTTTTTGAGATTTAGTCCCCAGTGTAAAGCATAATTATGTGGAATAAGATTGATCTATTTATTTCCATTGCTTAAATATTCATGGATTTGTGTCTTTGCTTGTATTTACATTAATGTATGCATTTGAAAGTATTTGTGTCTTTGGAAGATATTCTTACTGCAGAAGTACCAATTTCTCATTATGTGTTTTTAAAAATTATGGAATCAATAGACCTTTTGAAAAATCCTACATTTTTTAATTTAAATGACCTGTGGACAGCAGCAGAAGGAGATGGCAAGGATTAAGAAAATTCAAATAGTTTATTTTCAGTGATGTTTGATTTATCTTTGGTATTCATATCTCTACTTCAAAACTGATAGACAGAAAGACTCTGCAGTTACCAAGATGCCCTCTTCCCATTCGTGGGCTGTATTTTGGAGCTTATTTTTTGTGTTCTGAAAAAAATCCAGCTTCCATTTGAGAAATGTATTTTGCACCCTTTCCACAGCCAAAAACAGTTAATGAGCTGACCTTGCCATCAGATCAAATAGCCTTGGAAAATGACTCTATTACTGTCATTTAACCATTTGTAGCTGAACATCAGAGCCTTACAAATTAAACAGGCATTACTGTTTGAACCATTATTTTACCACAATTGTCTGAAAAGATTAATTCCTTTTGGGGTGAGGAGGGGGGCGCATTAATGGGTACAGACCAAGAGAGATTGTATGACCTTTTCAGAACGGGTGTGCTGAACCTACGGTCCCCCTTGTCACAGTTTAAAAACCAGAGGAGCTAGTTTAGAGAAGAAGTTGTTAGCATTCCATTTTTATTATGACATTTCACAGTCATCCGATTTAATGTCCCTTGACCAGATTGTCCACCGTGAGACGATGGGCTTGAAATGTTATTTAGAGCATTGATAAAAGGTGAGCAGTTCTAAGATGACAGCAAGTCATAAGGCTGGTGGTGTGACATTAATTTTCTCCATAACAGAGATGGAATAAGACGTCATGGTGACAACCTGTCAATCAGTACTGGCCCCTCAGTGTATCTCGATGCCATAGGATGGGGTATTGCTTCTCCCATAATAGAGCTGAACTGAGATGCTCTCCCTGACAGCTGCTGCAGCCATACAGAAAATATATTATACAGCCTTTCATTAAAAAAATAAAGAGGACTCATCTCCAGAGCATTTCAATCTTTTCCCATCTATTGAGGGCTGAAAAGATTCACTGCAAATCACAGATTCCTCTGCTATGGAAATTTCAGTCTTCAGAAACCATAGGTTTTTGAGGCCTTCAACAATAATCATAAATAAGAAGACAGAATATAATCTGATAAATCATTACTTAAAGTTATGTATTTAAAGTAATGTATTAAAGTCATTTGCTTCTCCCAGAGTCTCTGCAGAAGCGCCGTATACATTTTCACTAGTCTCCACTGTCACGGAATGCAGTAAGTGAATCTAAACAAGCTGACTTGCTGGAACTAAAGTTCAAAAATAATTATTCTGTGGGATGTTAACAAAGGTAGCAAAATGGAATACAGTTCCAGTGCCTTTTTGCAGAACATGCAATTTGCTGGGTGAAATTTGGAGAGGGAAGGATCTATAGCATTGCAGGAAAGGGAGCAGTTTTTTGTCCAGGTCTGTTTGTTTGGTGTTTTATTTTGTTTTGTTTTTGCTTTGTTTTCTTTTTGAAGCTATGTGTTTGTTTCATTCATCGTGAAACACGTAAAACCTGAAAAACCTGTTTGTAAGTCCTTTCACTTTCATCATGGTATTAGAGCAGAATTATCTCTGTTGCAGTACGAGCTCTGATAAGGAGCTTCCAAACCTTGATCATTATTGAAATAAATGAGAGATGGTGCCAGCATGGATTTAAATTATAACACTGCTATCTGTACCACCACCTCTGCCACTTCCAGCTTGCATGTAAGCACACAAGCAGAGGGTTGAGTGTGTACTGATTAAACTTCACCGTCAGTACTTTTAAACCCTATTTCTCATTATAAACCTATTAAAACAAATAAAAATTATCAACCATTTTCCTATGATGACATACATGCATATTTGTAAGTATGTTGTGCATGTGGTACTGCGCGTAAATGGATTCCTCAGTTCAGGATAATAAGGTCGAACCTTCACTGTACACAATAAATAGTTGGGGCTTCTGAAATTAATATCAGAGTGTGATTGGACTGTTAGAACGCCTTATTGACAGAAAGAGGGAGATGTATATTATATGTCTAATGTTTTAATGGATTTTATCTACACGTAAAATTTTTGCGACATTTAATATTGCATTTAAGCAGCACCTGTGATTTTCAGATAAGTGACGTTATTGTGGTTGTCCTTAATAATCAGTTTTGACTTCATAATAAATTTCAGAATTCTTGACCTGGTGTTTACCTGCTGGTTGCATATCCTAGAAATCTAGACATTATAATAAGCAGTGAAAAAGGTTTCACCTGTTACCATACCTTCACATACCTAATTAAAATATTAGAAATGGCCATGGGAACTATTTGTGTGTTTTTTTGTTTTGTTTTTTGTTTTTTTTTTTTTCAGATGTTAAAATGTTTAGAAGCAAATGTACCTGCTAGCATTTATGAAAAGGACTTGCAAAAGTAACCCAAAATTAGGCCACATATGATTATGATTTAAAATGGATTTAAAAATCTAATTTTAGTTTCCTCTTTTGGAGTTCTTCCCATAGGTTATGAAGAAACTAAATGTTAATGTCATATTTGCCATTAATTGATTGCAAAATCAAAATTGAATTCGATGTACCAGCATTTGAAGTTCTGCAACTTTTAAATTATGTTCAAAGTTAGAGCTTAAAAATGTTGGCATACCATGCCTAGCTGCTGCATTACCCCCAGTTTGTCATCTGAAAAAACAGAATGCAGCTTCCAAGCAGCTTTATATAACTATGTAGGCATAAATGCAATTGTTACTCTACTCTTTATTTTTTCTTCCTTTTTTAATATATGTAGATACTGCATAAACTGATGGTTAAAAAAAAAAAAAAGAAAGAAAAAAGTAAAACCTTTTTTGCTGTGTAACTGAAATCACCTTCTCATTCTTTTTTTTTTTTTTCAATCTTTTATTGCCTGTATTTATTGTGACACATGTTAAATTGCTATAATCCCCTTTTGATTGTTTTTGCTCATATTATTTGCTGCATGTATGCTGCATACAGGCTTACATATAATGATCAAGAACAATGAAATTGATACTGGTCCTAAGTCACTATTCAAAATATTCTTAGAGCCTTCAAAGAGAAAACGTGAGCACAGATTTCAAAAAAGTATTAAGGGAGATGAAATGTTTGTATTAATTTTCTTAATACATTGATGTAATTTACAATTGTGATGGAGAGTTGTTTATGTGCTATTAGGGGGATTAAGTCGGTAGAATTAGCATATTTAATCATTTATATTGTAATTTTTCCTTTGTGTTTTTGATTGATAAGTTAAAGTTGCAAAATACTGAAAGAAACACCAACAACTGCATGTTTTGAAGAAAATAATAATTAAAAACGTGAATATGTTAGAATTACACTAACATATTTGGGAGAGGGAAAAGGCTATCAACATTGCTTTCATTTTGTCCTTTTTGCAATCTAGAATTGTATTTCTTATTATTGTTTTTTAGAGTCCAATGAGGATGTTCCATAACATGAAGGACGTGGGATTTCTTCAGGTGAAGGTCATCCGAGCAGAAGCACTGATGGCAGCTGATGTTACAGGCAAGGACTCATTTAGTTTCTGTGACAGTAAATAGTAATACTAGGCCTTTTTAAAAGTAATGAAAAGATGGTTAAGTTTATCAAAATATTATTGCCTGCTTGCTTAGTCTCACCTTCTCCTCATTAAAAAATCCTCAGACACACAAACAAAACTTTTGTAAGCAAGGCAGCAAGTCATTCTAATGCTAGTGGAGTCCTATGTAGGTTATTTCTGACAAGGGTGAAATATATATTTTGACCCCATCAGAGGTCCTGCAAAAAGTACTGGATGAGATACTTATTCAAGATTTCTTTTTTTTCTAATTTGTATTATTTCATATATTTGTATCTATTAAAGCAGAGTTCAACGGACAAGGGAAATGAAAGATGATAGACATAGATAGAACTTTAAATTTTTTACCAAAATAATTGTTTGGTACCTGCCAGATTCATAGCAAGGCTGCTTTTGGTTTCAGATATTTCAAACACATGTAAAGTTTCCTTTAAGTAGTGCTTGTCTGTTTAAAAAGGGAAATAAGATTTTTTATATACGATTTTCAAGTTATATGGGATAATTGGATAATTAAACCTGTTTCTTTTCAAAACACAGGAAAAGTACCCCAGCCATACCAAATATATTTCTTCAGAAATACCCGAGTTATGTCCTGAAAGTAAAATCACCTTCATACTGCAAAGGTTAAATGGAGCAAAGCGAGCTTGTTCTATGTCATAAAATAGCCATCTTTATAATTTTATTTTATTTTTAAAGGCAAACTACCCTAATATTACTGGTTGGAGTGCAATTTGGACATAAATATTTTACTACAAGAGCAGATATAGATGTATAGGATGATACTTTCTTTTTAATGGTTTTGTTCAAATTAGCATGAGTACCAGTTTCGTGGGTTTTTTTCTTAGACAGGGTAACAGAGTAAACATTTAATTGCTGAAACTGATCTTCCAGTTTGTGGTGCACAAAATAACAGATTCTATTTTTGGGGAGCTTGGAGAAATGCTTCTAAAGATTCCTCACTCTGCTTTGACCTTATAATCCAATGTGGTCTGAACAGAGAGAGAGATTAAGTTATTCAGGGGCAAATGGGATAATTCAGTCCCTGACCTCGTTCAGTCTTCGACTTTTCCAGATCAACATGTCATTTGTGCTGGTTGAACAGATTTTTTGGAAATACATTTGATTCAATTAAAGATGTATAGAGCTACCAAAAATTTTCAGACATTGCGTTTAGAATGACAGTCAGGAAGACTGGGAAGAACACTCAATAATTTGCTCATGTCCTTAGTATTTTGCTCACTAGCATTTGTACAGTATATATGCTTTTTAAAAAGGCTGTGTAGATGTAACAGAAATCCATGCATATTTTGGATAGTAGTATTTGGTATTTTGAAAAGAGGACAGTGGGTTCTTATTAATTTAATTTATGTGGGCATGTACAGATAATTCATTTCAGATTAAACTTTAAGTAATAACATTTGCAAGTAGTCATTTGTTGATTGTTAGTAAATCATGTCTGTAAAAATTACAAAAAAAAAAAAAAAAAGATCCTTCACCTGTGTTCAGCTAAGAATACTTACTAGTTAGTTTAGAGAACACTGTCATCAGTAGTATAACTTGCACAATTAGGGATTGCTTATGTGAATAAGAACCCAGGAGTAGTTTGCTCTTCCTAATATATCATTTTTTTTCACAGTTAATCTTTTCCCCTTCCCTGAGTCTGAAAAGTAGCTGAAACACCTGTATTGTACCTGTCTGATTTGCTTTGTTTCCTGTCTATTGAACATATCCCATTTCACTTTCAGGAATCTTTTCATATGCAGTAATAAATCAAAATTTATTAGTTTGGGCTGAATGGATTTTTAAAATCCATAATATTCCATCATTAAACATAAGCATAGATGGAAAAAAAGATTTCTGTAATCTTCTAAGTAGTCATCAGTCTTACTACACAGTTACAAAGATTTTTTTTCCTTTCAAAATGTGAAATTTTTCTTTTGTTACCATACATTCATTGAGAAGCATTGTAATACTGTATTAACTCTGTGTGAATAAAGAGCAATTGAGACTCCCGTTGAATGAACGAGTAAAAAGCACAAATTACTTTTTAATGAAACCCTCAATTCTCCTCCTTTCCAGAGAGAAAGCCCATAGTCTTGTTCAGCTGAATACTACTACAGTAGGTCACTTCAGTTAAGCCCCTAATAAACTGTTGATAGTTGAGGTAGCTTTTTCTTCTGTGTTAATAGACGAGTGTTGGATGCTGCATTTCAAATCATTAAGGTTAATACTGATTTTTAAAAGAGAGAGAGGAGAAAAAAAAAAATAGAAAGAAAAAGAAATTAAGGGTAAGGCCTCATTTTGCAACTCCCAGATACACACACATGCACTGAACAAGATGCCAGGGCAGACCGAAATTTAAGTGAAGCTGCAGGCAGGTGAGAAAATGGTCACTATCCATCTGAAAAGGGGGTGCTGTTTGAATGTGCCATAACTAGAAGAATATCTGAGAAAAACACGGAGTCAGACTCCTCTTCACTCTGCCCACTTTCACAGAAATGACTTGCCTGGAAAAGTGAGAGCCACAGAGGAGATGAGAGGTTCCTGATGGGTGCTTGAAACATTTCACTGATTTCAGGGAGTGCTGAAACACACGGCACCTGGCAGGACCAGGGCCTTGAAGAGTGCTGGCTGGTTTATCAGGATATCTTCCCTGGTTAAGGTGTCTCTTGACATCAGTCACAGAGTTCTTTCTGTTGGTAAAACAAAACTCTGGGGTTGTCACCAGTACAAAATCATGTTCTGCTGGAAATTTTGGTCACAGCAGCTATTCTTTCATGTAAAATATTTATATTTTAATGTTGCCTGTTATATTTTAATATTGCCTGATGTTTGCCAAACAAGCAAACATCTATAACAAATGAAATTATATTATTGACAGCACAGTTTACATTTTCTTCTATTCAGCTAAAAGAACTTATATTTTTCCCTCTCCCCCACTTTTTTGCTCTCTTTTGTTACCTCTGGAAGTCACACAGCTTTTCTCAAGGGTTTGGTTGCTTGCAGAGCACTGGAGTAGTTGCTTGTATGGTTATGATGAAGTCTTTTAAATGAGGAAATATTCTGATAATGCAGTGAAACGTAAGGTATGATGGATTCATCGTGTCAGTTGATCTCTGAAATTAATACAAATTCTGTTTACCCAAGCAATGGGAAGCTTGGACAGCAATAGACCTTTCCAAAGTGAAATAGTGTCAGTTAAAGCAGTAAGTAAATTCCTGCTGCCAAGTTGTATATAAGTAGGGTTGAGGGGAAGCCTGCTATTTTCACAGTGTTTGCCTCTCCTTTTTGGGGGCATATCCTTCCATCTTTTTCCTGATAACCTGAAATAAAATGTAAAACTCTGCCTTGTTACTGACGAGAGGGAAGCATGGTGGGAAAAGATGTGCTACAGGTTTTATCAGCGTCAGCGCAAGTCCCATTATTTTCAAGAATAATAGTTAGCAACTCAGATTCATTAGCAGAGCAAAATCTGAGCTCCTTGTGACAGTCTGCCTAGAAAACAGTTTGTTTTGCTGTCTTTGGGCTTTAATTAAGACGTGCTCCATTCTAGCCCCCTCGCCTGCTTCTCGCCCACCCCCACCCCACTTGCTGTGTCACAGACCGGCGATCAGACGCTTTCAGATGGTCCAGCCCATGACTTTGACCTTCTGCGCGGTCCGGCGTTCCCTGGGGAACCGTTCAGCTCATGAGGTCTGATTTCACACTTCCAGGATGCCTCGGCTCTCTTAACAATGACAGGGAGACAAAGCCCTTTAGAGCGGGCCGCATGGGGACTTGTTTAAATTGGAAACTAGAGAGGAGTCAAGGAACAAGGTTACAGGCTACAGAATAGTGCTTTTAATAAAGAGCTCACAGCTCTGGTTCAGCTCAAAGAGGGCTACCTCTGTACAATTAATTGAGACATTTATCTGGAGCATCTTAGGCCTCTACTTTCTCACAGAATTATGTGATAAATATCAGCTAAGAGGCAAATGAGATGTGCATGAAATGAATTTTTAACACTTTGATTACTGTGTCTCCAGTCTTCATTAGAAGTTAATTTATTTGTATTTCTGACCTCATTATTAATCAATTTTCTGCATTTTGGGGGGACTACTGAGGTTTCAGAACCTGGTATTTGAGATGGATTATATCAAAGAGCTCGGTGATATTTAGGTTTAGAGCCAAAGGCATTTCAGGTTTTGGTTTTTCCTCCTTTGAAGACCAGCAACTAAGCATAGAAAATGAGAGTTTTTTTTTTTCTTTTTTTTTTTTTCTTTAAGTTTTATGTATGGCATTCAGCCTTTCTTTTAAGAAAATTCCATGTTGAAATTTTGATTAAAATATTTGAAAGTAGAATGAAGAAACCAAGGTGGCTAGATGTGCAGAATGTAAATGAGTTTTCTAAAATCTGTTCTACTAAGATGTCTTAATACCTTTTGTGCAAAAATAGTCTTTGAAATTGTTTCTCAAATGCTAGCAAATGTCAGAATGATGTATACAAATGTTAAATTCAAAAAGGTGTGGAAGTCTGTATGTGTAAAATTGAAGGAATAAATTCAAAGGCCCTTTGGAATTATGGTTTTTGCTCTGTCAATTTGCTCTGTCAATTAGTGCAACCAGACTTCAATATACACTTGAATTATCTTCACAAAGTAATGAAATCTATGGACATTACTGCCTGGTAGATAAAATCTAGCCTAATCTTCTCCGTATGTTTTGCCTGAAGACATCAGTCCAGTATCATGTACTGCAAAACTCCTTTTTCTTTCCTGATTAAAGTAGCAGTTTTAGGTTACTAATGGCAAACTCAGGTTTTAAAAGGCATTTTCAATTAACCGTAACATTTAGAATTAAATATCCAGTGAAATTATTTGTGATTATTACCACATTTTTCTGTAAATATTCTGTGGAAATGAGTTGAGCAAGGTTTTGGCACTGCACTGAATGCCTTGAACATTCATGG